CCCCAAAACCCCAAAACCCCAAAACCCCAAAACCCCAAAACCCCAAAACCCCAAAACCCCATGAATAGGAGATAAATTGGAGATGAAGCAATTAATTTAAAGATATTTAAAACAAATGGATATCATCATGCTCAACTCAATTATATGGTTGAAAGAGCTCAATCTCCTTGCTTTAAACCAGTTGATAATGAACTATTGCTGCAGTAGAATATCTGACTCACAAGGGGAGGAGCCTAACATCTCTGCTAAAACTAACTCTTTTATTGTCATTCGTGATAAGTCTGAAGATCTTGAAAGTAAGTTCTTAAGTTTTTGCCCTTCTTAGCATCTTGCTAACATTTTCTAGAAAAATCTTCAAAGACGACCCAAGCTTGCAGTCAGACATCAGAGAAGCAGCAAGAGACTTCTTGTTGAGACAGTACTCCTGAAGTACACTACAAAACGTACAAGCAGATCAAAGAAGCTTCTCTCAAGCAAGATCCTGACATTTCGAAGGCTCAGATCTATGAAAATTTGTTGAAGCCTTTCAAGCATGAAAAGAAAATGGTCACAACTCCACTCACTGGCAGAGAGACCACCCTTTATGTCTGAAAATATGGCGACTGAAACAAAGCTTACACTAAGATCTGGAACTTGGTTGACCATGCCAGAATGCATGAGGGAATCAAACCCTACTCTTGCAGAATCTGTCATCAGTCTTTTACTCAGAAAGGCAATTTAAAGAAACACTTGAAGCTGCATGATTTCCCAACTGTAAAAGAGAGAAGAAGATTCCAATGAAAAATCTGCCACAAGAAGTACACTCAATCGTATAATCTCAAGGTAGGTCTTTTCCTAAGTTGATTTGGGTTTTGTCAGCCCCTTAAATTACATTCCAAAAGATTCAGAATTATCATGAAATATAGTCTCACATGAAGATCCATGAATAAACATGAAATAAAGTCGAATCATAGAAAGGCAGGAACTCTGGATCATTAAAATAATTGATTTCTAAGCTACTTCAGTGCTAAATATGATATTTTGGGGTGATATAAGCATTAAATTACTTAGATACTAAAAATCTCTTCAAACCTCCAAGTTCTTTCCTCCAAAGACCTAGTATCTTTACCCCACTCATCACCACTCCCATCCCAGGGCTCCCAGACAGAGTGACAACTTTCTGGCCTACCACCCTCTAACATTCCTCTCTTCTTTACCAGTCCATTTGCTCTTAAGCTGTGGCTGCACTTAGACCCACCCAAGTCTAAAATCTCGTTCTCATCTTCTTAAAAACTGTTAATCTCCTCTGAGTGCTGCACTCAGCTTGACCTGGATATTGCCGATGCAGTCACTTTTTGAGGTTGGCTCAGGGAGGAAGAGAAGAACTGTGGCCAGAGGGTTGAGGGTCAATTGGGTGTGGAGTGCTTGGGGCTGAGAAGAAGCCCAGATTGCTCATTGGGAGTTTTAGTGAGAGGGGAAGTGGAAAGATGGGCATATTTCATAATATCCGAGGAGCATAGAGCTAGTATTTATATCAAAATTTTGGAATTCTTCAAAAATGGATTTTTTAAACAATGTCATTATATGGATAGTATTGAAATTACTCTTAGGTCTGGCATTAAGGTGGAGTGTTATTTCTTCTATAATTTAGCTCTTGCTAGGATCTTTCATAATTTATGCTTGTGCTCGTTTCTCTATCAATCAAAAAGATTTCATTACTGCGGAGATACTAGGAAAATATTTAATAAAATATCAACAGAGTAATGAAAAAATTTAGGTCATTTCCAAAGTCCATTTCTGCATAAAAATTGGTCAGATTATTAAACAAACCCTCATCTAAACGATCCCACATCTAGGGAGATTATTATTTTGAGAATTTGAGCAGGCTTCCAGGAGAAACAAATCGGAACAACTCACATGGTCTATACTGAGCAGTTCATATTTAAATTTTTCATATTTCCTCTAGCTTTGAAGATCTGAACAGTGCTCGGGATTTGGAAATAATGAATCAGACTTGATAAATTCAGCTAAAAGACCCGCTTATATATTTCTTAGTCGCTAGTGCATATTTTATGGAGAGTTCAAAGTTCTCTGAGGGATATTAACAAGTGTAGCTCTTCATCTTTAGCTGAGAAAATATAATGAATAGCAGTACTTTTAAACCTGAAATAAGCTTAGAGCCATTTTCACCAAACAGGATCTGGAGTAAGCTGTAGCTTTGCAAACTTTCTTCAGCATTGCTTGGTAATGATAAGAATTATTTGAAGAAATTTAGCTGTCCTTCATTGTTGGGCATCTGCTATAGAGATGTGGCCTTAGCAACTCTTAAACTAAGACAAAAAATCTGGATGCTCAACCTATCTTTCAAAGTAGACTAACATTTCTTCAGATATTGAGCGAATTATGAAACACTAGAATCTGGCAAATTTGTAGTAGGTTAGGAAGCCCCTGAGTATAATTGAGGCATTATAACTTTCCTGCAGAGTCTCTATGTCAGGATATACACAATTTTTGGTTATACTTTTGGAATCTAATAACACCGAAGTTGGTAAAGCTATCCAGCATGAACATTTTTCGTCAGAATTTGCAGAAATTTTACAATTTAGTTATTTTTGGCAAACTCTCGATCTATAAAAGAGAAAACATGACAATTTTTCTCAATAAATTCTCAAAGAATCAAAAAAGAGTCTCTGTTGGTAGGATCCTCTATTCGACTGTGAGCCTCTAAATTTTGCAGGAGGATTCCATGTCATTTCTATTGTGTCTAACTTGGCAAAATATCTTTGAAAGAGCTCAGAGATTTCACTATTTTTGGGGTCTAGGAGCCTTGGTTTATCGTTGAGTCTTTGTTACATCGCTACTTTGATTTTTAATGGCTTGCTCTTAAAACTAAGGATTTTAAGACTACTTCTAAAAGTTTTGAAGTAATTAAGACTTAAAATCATTTCAAAAAGAACAATTTAGGCTTCATTTCTAAAATGTTTATTAATGGAACAAATAGGAACGATGTCTATCCTATATCAGAACAGGCTGTTATCACTGAAAGCATTGCTAATGATTCATTAATCTCAAAATATGTGGAAGGAAGTAAGCCTTATATGAGCTTATAGCACTCAGGTATGAGATGCTTGCCTACAGTCTTCTTTGAGACATAAACTTTGATTTTTGCAGGAACTAATGTTAGGTTTCTGGCTATCTTAAAATTCTTCTCAGATAGATGAATCAGAATCATTTTTATAATCTTCGTGCCCTAGTCTATCCAAATATCTGAGCAATGCCAGGTCTTGTCAGAATGTAACATTCTTGTTCTTCTATACTCCTTCAAGAACTTAATATCATTTGGAGCTTAGTTACAGGTTACTCTCAGAATTATTTTGACCTTTTATAAAAGATGTACATTAATTCGCCAAAAATGTCATTCCCAGTCAGCCCGTTTCAGGAACTAGTCTGAAGCCTTCGGCTCCTTCACGAGGATCATATTTTGCTCCAAAATTTAGAGTTCGAAGATTAGATAAGTAAGAAGGAGGTCCTAACCTGCTCAACGATAAAGGAGACTACACTTATCTCCTATTTATTAAACTTTTGAGGTTATTTACACACTTCTTAGCATCTTTTTAGTCAGCTTTGAGTCTTCCTTGTCCCTGGGCAAATTTTAGTGGGATTAGTCTGCCAGATTCAAGCAGAGCCTCGGTGAATAATGCCTTATCAACCTTAAGTCTATATACAAGTGGTTCACTGATTAAGCCAATTGGAGATTCTTCACGATAAGATCTCTCTTTGAAAATTGGACTCGGCTCATTTAGCAATAAATGCAGAGGTTTTCTGAATTTTTAGAAATTTTAATTGACTTAGTTGAGCTTTCATCAAATTATTCTATCAATAGGTAATCCTAGGGGCTAATATTTAGAGAGCGAGAAGTCTCAATAATTAATTTATGACTTGATAGGAAGTCTAGAAGGAGTCTTTCAAAGTTTAAGGCCACCCTAATTTCTCCCCTAAAGCCTTCATGACTTTGGCTGAGAGCAAAAAATATAAGAAAAGACTTCAAAAAATTGGCGAACTTTTAGTTTGATAACTTGTTAATAATATAAGATGAGCCAGGCATCCAAGCATCAGGATTCTTTTGAGGGTCTTTCTTCTTTTCTTTCAGCCTCAAATATTCATAGAGGAAGTATCAATTGATGTTAGACCGGCTATCAAAGATAAGAAGAGGCAAATCTAATTGGTTTCTCAAAGGCTTTTATATCCCGAGAGGTCCTGGACCCTCCCTGTCTGTTGTATCTTCCAGTCTTTTCAAGACTAATCATTGTAGGAAAATCCCAGTTGCTAGGTCCTTTCCTGATCTTAGTTTGAGCAGCTACATCTTTCCTCACAGTCCATCATGGTTCAGGGCATATCTTCCTTCGAAGCGGATCTTCCTTACAGATAATTCCTGACAATCTATAGATATTGGGGACTAGGCTGTCTCTCTATTTCTGAGACAAATCATTTCAATTAATCCTGGAAGGCAGTGCCTAACCGGATATATTTAGTTGTTATCCTTCCAAACTTGGAAGGTTGGTGGTATTTTTACTACTAAAATTTAGATAAGTAACACTAAGAAGCCATCTTGGTTTATATGCTTCAGAATCATTCACAGTCTGCCTTTGTAGCATCTGGATTTCCGCATCAATTTCGCAAAGGTTTGATATGGTAAAGTTATGTCAAATGTCAATAAAAAATTGAGATTTATGAGTTTAACATTTGATAGTAATCTATTCTTCACTAATGGCAGTCATCCTCTTTTGAGGTTATTCCTTTGTTATTTCTTATTTTTCCTCAACATTTCAAAGATGAAGGATTTTAATTGAGAAAATTTCCATTTAAGAGTTTACCATTTTTGGTGAAATATCGCATTTCCATGAAAAAGTAATTTTTCATTTTCTGTGTTTGAAAATTGAACGATAAGCTTCAATTTGGAGCAGAGAAAGCATGGGAATGTCCTTAAAAAGTATCTTGAAATAAAGACCAAAGTGCTAGGAATTATTATTATATGCTAATCGAGATGGTAGTCTAAGTCATCTATAGCCTCATGTGTCTTGATGTCTGATTCTTTCTGAATTCTGTTGCGAAGATAATACGATGAGCCTGGGAGTTTCAAACCATAGAGTTCATCGTAGCTGTAGATCTCTGCAAAAATATAAAGTCCTCTTTCATAAACATTTGAAATTTTTGGAAGCTCATAATTACAGTAAATCGGCTGTGTTATGTAAATTTTATTGATGAACCAAACTTAATAAACTCACTTGTTTAGGGTTATGGAGATTCCTTCACTAGCAAATTATACCTGATAATCAATTATAAGGCATTAAATAATATTGGGATAGTGCTAGCTATTTTAGTACTAAAGAAAGAAAGTAAAATAGCATTATCTTAGTTTTAAGAGACTTCTTGATATTCAGAGATATTCAAACCAAACCTAAATGTTTTAGAAAATAAGCTTATTGATATCTCTTGCATTGCGAGCCTCACCAGACTTCTACTAATATTATTGCAATGTCATATTTTAAGTAATTTTCGTAGATAAGTCATTCGCTTAAGTAATTAAGATTTTCCAATGAGTTCATGTGCAGTTCATCATCACTGCTCTTAATGTTAGACTTCAGGAAAGCCATTGGCTAGTCCTGTGGCATCTTCTGCAAGTTAATAAAATAATTTTTCCAAACATGGTATAACAAAGTTCATGATTCAATCGGGGTGTATCATATTGGGGTTTTGGGGTTTTGGGGTTTTGGGG